TAACTCCATTTAAAAGCCAAACACTGCCCAATTGAATAAAAAAGCAAGAACTGTACACTATTCTTAGAGAACCTTTTTAAATATAAAGTAAAATTACAGAAAAAAGATATATTGTATATTTACATAAAACATATACATAGTGTTTAATTTTTTATTATGATTCTGATGTATTATTCCTTTCTCTGTCTCATCTTTTATGAATACATACTTTTCCCCATATTTTCCATATTTAGATTTGACATGCCTGTCTTGTAATGAGGCTAGAAAATATTTAATATGTTTTCTTCTTTTATAAAAGTGACTTCTTCTGTTTATTTTGTGTTCACATCAAGCCTACTGTGAATTTTACTGAATTTCCATTGTTTGATAAATGGAAAATATGAAGTGTAATAGTATTGATAATTTATAAATAAATCATTAGTTCAGTATTTTCAGAAAATGTTGTAGTTTTTTGTTTTTTAAATAAATGCCCTCACTTTGTACCATTATAATAATCTACAATTCCACATACTATAACTAAATATTTAAAAATTCAGAATTTTGGGGTCATTTGATTAATATTTTTGTTCTATTTCTAGCAGCTTTCTTTTTAAAATTGTCTGAATTTTAATATTTATATACTTTCTTGAGCTTAGTGTATAGTTTGCTTTATTTCTTGATATTTATGCTGAGCCATCCAGACTTCTCCTAAACCACTTTTCAAGATACTGGCCAAAGTTAGGCACATTAGCTCAAATATGTAATTTTATCTTTTGTTATCCCATTCTCTTACCAATTTAATTAACTAAGGTGGTCGATAATTACTATCTGGCTTATTCTTATTTTTCTCTCAAAAGGATGTGAGCCCAATGTCTAAATAATATTGAGATACATACTATAAAAAGAAATGATTTTATACCATTACAGAAGTAATAACAGAAAAAGACAGGGATAATACAGAGTGGTCACAGAAGCATAAAATATGTCAGGCATCAGTTTTACATGACTAGCGAAAGAAAAGTGTTGAAATAGCTGTAGAAGCTATAGTGTGATAAGAATCTGAATAACCATCCCAGCACTGCAGGAGGATGAGATGGGTGGAACACAAGGTCAAGAAATGGAGACTATCGCAGCCAACATGGTGAAACCCCATCTCTACCAAAAATACAAAAATCAGTTGGACGTGGTGGTGCGGACCTGTAGTCCCAGCTACTTGGGAAACTGAGGCAGCAGAATCACTTGAACCTGGGAGGCAGAAGTTGCAGTGAGCCAGCCACTGCAGTCTAACCCAGAGACAGAGTGAAATTCTGTCTCAAAAAACAAACCAACAACAACAACAAAAGAATCTGAGCAACCAGAATGGACAACAAGCTAGCTGAGCCTAACTGGACCCAACATGTTACTGGATTTGACCTAGGTTTCACTTAGGGCCTGGGACCTCATTATATGCTTATTAACATACTGTAACATACTAAATAACATACCTGGCTGGGCGTGGTAGCTCACTTCTGTAATTCCAGCACTTTGGGAGGCTGAGGCAGGCGAATCACTTGAGGTCAGGAGTTTGAGACAAGTCTGGCCAATATGGTGAAACCCCGTCTCTACTAAAAACAGCTGGGTGTGGTGGCACATGCCTGTAATCCCAACTACTCAGGAGACTGAGGCAGGAGAATCATTTGAACCTGGGAGATGAAGGTTGCAGTGAGCCAAGTTTGCGCCACTGCACTGCAGCCTGGGTGACAGAGAGAGACGCTGTCTCAAAAAAATAAAAATAAAATAACACACCCACCAGCAAAATGACAGTTCCAGAAACACCAACATTTCGTGTAAAATTGGGTAGAACCACAGTTTCCAGAAGTCTACGTGAATATTCTACCCCTTGGTTAAAGAAACTCATAAAGGTAGAAGTCCCAGACTCCATTGCATGACTTTCTCTTGAGTATGCCCAGTCTTCCCTTTCTTGAGTAATGTGTACTTCTTACTTTGCAATAAATATCCCTGTTTTCACCATTTTCTAACTCATTCTTGAGTTCCTTCTTGCAATGGTACCAAGAGTGTTAAGAACTTGGATATCAGCCAGGGTAGAGGTTCCATTATTGTTTAAGGACTTCCTTCAGCCCGTTGGTATTCAAACACTGTTTTTACATAGGTCTCATAGGTCCTAGGTCACACTGCAAGAGGTGGGCTCACATGGTCTCTGGCAGCTCTGCCTGTGTGGCTTTGCAGGGTACAGCCCACTCTCAGCTGCTTTTACGGGCTGGCATTGAGTAACTGTGGGCTTTCTAGGTGCACCGTGTAAGCTGTCGGTGGACCTACCATTCAGGTGTCTGGAGGATGATGGCCCTCTTTTCATAGCTCCACTAGGCAGTGCACTAGTGGGGACTCTGTGTGGGGGGTCTAAACCCACATTTCCCTTCCTCAGGGCCCTAGCAGACTTTCTCCATGAGGCCTCTGTACCTGTAGCAAAGTTCTGCTTGAACATGCAGGCATTTCATATATCCTCTGAAATCTAGGTGGAGGTTCTCAAACCTCAATTTTTGATTTCCATTCACCCACAGGCTCAATACCACATGGAAGCTGTCAAGGCCTGGGGCTTGCACCCTCTGAAGCCATGACCCCTTTTAGACATTGATGGAGCAGCTGGGATGCAGGGCACCAAGTCTCTAGGCTGCACACAGCAGGAAGGCCCTGGGCCCTGCCCGTGAAGTCAATTTTCCTCCTAGTCTTCCAGGCCTGTAATAGGAGGGGCTTTTGCCAAAGTCTCTGGCATGCCCTGGCAACATTTTTCTCATTGTCTTGGTGATTAACATTTGGCTTCTCATTACTTTTGCAAATTTCTCCAGGCAGCTTGAATTTCTCCTCAGAAAATGGTTTTTCTTTTGTTTTTTATATTTTTAAATATATTTTTGTTTATTATTATACTAAGTTCTGGGGTACATGTGCAAATCTTGCAGGATTGTTACATAGGTATACACAGGAAATGGTGGTTTGCTGCCTCCATTCCCCCTTTACCTACATTAGATATTTCTCCTAATGTTATCCCTCCCCTACTCCCTCATCCCTTCCTGTTGCTCCCCTAGCCCCCCACCCCTAACAGACCCCAGTTTGTGATGTTCCCCTCCCTGGGTCCATGTGTTCTTATTGTTCATCACCCACTTATGAGTGAGAACATGCGGTATTGGTTTTCTGTTCTTGTGTCAGTTTGCTGAGAATGATGGTTTCCAGCTTCTTTCATGTCCCTGCAAAGGACATGAACTCATCCTTTTTTATGGCTTCAGTATTCCATGATGTATATGTGCCACATTTTCTTTATCCAGTCTATCATTGATGGGCATTTGGGTTGGTTCCAAGACTTTGCCACTGTAAACAGTGCCTCAGTGAACATATGTATGCATGTATCTTTATAATAGAATGATTTATAATTTTTTGGTTATATACTGAGTAATGGGATTGCTGAGTCAAATGGTATTTCTATTTATAGATCCTTGAGGAATCGCCACACTGTCTTCCACAATGATGGCACTAATTTACATTCCCACCAATAGTGCAAAAGCATTCCTATTTCTCCACATCCTCTACAGTATCTGTTGTCTCCAGATTTCTTAATGATCACGATTCTAACTAGCGTGAGATGGTATCTCAGTATGTTTTTGTGGTGTAATTCTCTAATGACCAGTGATGATGAGCATTTTTTCATGTTTGTTGGATGCATAAATGTCTTCTTCTGAAAAGTGCCTGTTCATATCTTTCACCCACTTTTTGATGGGTTTGTTTGTTTCTTGTAAATTTGTTTAAGTTCTTTGTAGATTCTGGGTATTAGCCCTTATCAGATGGGTAGCTTGCAAAATTTTTTTCCCATTCTATTGATTGCTGGTTCACTCTAATGATTGTTTCATTTGCTGTGCAGAAGCTCTTAAGTTTAATTAGATCCCATTTGTCTATTTTGGCTTTTGTTTCCATTGCTTTTAGTGTTTTAGTCATGAACTCCTTGCCTATGCCTATGTCCTGAATGGTATTGTCTATGTTTTCTTGTAAAGTTTTTATGGTGATAGGTCTTGTGTTTAAACCTTTAATCCATCCGGAGTTAATTTTTGTATACGGTGTAAGGAATGGGTCCAGTTTCAGCTTTCTGAACATGGTTAGCCAGTTTTTCCAACACAATTTATTAAACAGGGAATCCTTTTCCTATTGTTTGTTTTTGTAAGGTTTGTCAAAGATCAGATGGTTGTAGATGTGTGTGTGACTTCTGAGAACCCTGTTCTGTTCCATTGGCCTATCTCTCTGTTTTGGTACCAGTACCATGCAGTTTTGATTACTGTAGCCTTATGCTATAGTTTGAAGTCATGTAGCATGATGCCTCCAGCTTTGTTCTTGTTGCTTAGGATTATCTTGGCTATGTGAGCTCCTTTTTGGTTCCAAATGAAGTAGGAATGTGGTCTTTTCCAGTTCTGTGAACAAGGTCAGTGGTAGCTTGATGAGGATAGTATTGAATCTATAAATTACTTTGGGCAGTATGGCCATTTTCACAATATTGATTCTTCCTAACCATGAGCATGGAATATTTTTCCATCTGTTTGTGTCCTCTCTTATTTTCTTGAGCAGTTCTCCTTGAACAACCTGTATGTTCACTGTTGTGGTGCCCCAAAACAATTACAATAGTAACAATAAAAATCACTGATATCTGTTATCACCATAACAGATAAAATAATAAAAATGTTAGAAATACTCTGAGAATTACCAAAATGTAACACAGAGACATGAAGTGAGCATAACCTCTTGGAAAATATGGCACTGATAGATTTGCTGAATACAAGGTTGGCACAAACTTAATTTGTAAAAAATGCAACATCTGCAAAGTGCAATAAGGTAAAGCTCAGTAAAAGAAGGCATACCTGGATCTTATAAGAGAATGCCAATGTTTCCTCTAAAGCATAGAAATCTCTCTTTAACGGGCAACATAGTTGACTTAGTCTCTTTGACGTGATAAAGTAAAATCTTGGGATCTGATTTCTGCTCTCTAGCATTAAAGTTCCATTTTATGAAAAACGAGAATGATATTGTGGAGAATAACCTAAAGGACATGCCATTCATCCATTCTTCTTTTCTACCTTCCAAGGTAATTTTAATGTCTCTTTTCTTGTGAATTTAAAAAATTACTTTATATAGTTCTGTTATTGGTACTTACTGTCTTATTTTTTCCTTCTGTCCCCTTTCTTTTTAAAGCTCAATTAAATTAATTATATAACATTTAGACATATAAAATATTTCAGAGTATAATAAAATCATTATTCAACCATGCAGACCTTTTTAAAATGCTAATGTTTTGGGTCACATTCAAACTTTTTATACTTAAAGTATCAAGCATCAGAAATTGTGTAAAATGTATGAAAAGTAATTCAAACATACTTTAATTGTTTTCCTGCAGTCTTTAACTCAACCTTATATATTTTAGAAGTGTATGCTATCAAATTTTGCCTTTACTTTAGCTGTTATATAACATTGCATTATATGATGAAACCAATATTTAATATTTTATTGTATTGACAGACTTTTTAAACAGGTTTATTGAGGTATAAGTGATATACAGTGGACTAAACATATTTAATGTCTACAAGTTGATGAATTTAGGCATATACAAATACCTCATGTTACATTCTGTTGTAAGAGTATATAACATAAAATCTACCCTCTTACAAAATTCTGAACTGTATACTACCATATTGTTACCGACAAGCACTATGTTATATGTCAGATCTTTAGAACTTACTCATCTAGCAGATATGAAACTTTATACATATTGAACAACTCTCCATCTCCACCTGCTATTCTTTGAAAACTGTTACTCTATTTTCTGCTTCTAAGAGTTTGACTATTACAGATACTTCCACATAAGAGGAATAATATAGTATATGTCCTTCTGTGACAGGCTTTTTTCACTTAGGGTTCCAACTTTCAGGTTCATCCATGTTGTTGCAAAAGGCAGGATTTGCATTCTTTTCTAGTTTTGTATAATATTTCATTGTATGTATTATTAATATAGCACATTTTAAAATCCATTCATCTGTTATAAATTCTTGGGTTGCTTCTGTGTCTTGGCTATTGTGATTAATGCTGCCATGACAATGAGAATGCAGGTATTTCTTCAATATCTTTTTAATTCTTTTAAATATATATGTAGAAATGAGATTGCTGGATCATACAGTAGTTCTATTTTCAACTTTTTGAGCAATCACTACACTATAGTCTACTCTCAGTATCTTGCTTTCATTAAAAGTAAGTTTGTGGGGTCAGGCGCGGTGGCTCACGCCTATAATTCCAGCACTTTGGGAGCCCGAGACGGGCAGATCATGAGGTCAAGTAATCCAGACCATCCTGGCCATGGTAAAACCCCGTCTCTACTAAAAATACAAAAATACTGTAGCTGGGACCACAGTAGCACGCGCCTGTGGTCCCAGCTACTCAGAAGGCTGAGGTGGAAGAATTGCTTGAACCCGGGAGGTGGAGGTTGCAGTGAGCCGAGATTGCGTCACTGCACTCCAGCCTGGCAACAGAGCAAGACTCCATCTCAAAAAACTAACTAATTAAATAAATAAGTTTGTGATATATTGAAGGGTTTCATTATATTGAATCGAATAGAGAAAATAAAATGATTTTTTTTGTTGAGATGGAGTCTGCCCTGTCACCCAGGCTGGGGTGCAATGGCATGGTCTCAGCTCACTGCAACCTCTGCCTCCTGAGTTCGAACTATTCTCCTACCTCAGCCTCCCAAGTAGCTGGGATTACAGGCATGTGCCACCATACCTGGCTAATTTTTGTATTCTTAGTAAAGACAGGGTTTCTCCATGTTGGTCAGGCTGGTCTCAAGCTCCTGACCTTGTGATCCTCCTGCCTTAGCCTCCCAAAGTGCTGGGATTACAGGCATGAGCCACTGAGTCCAGCCAAAATCATTGTTAAAACACGTGGAGTTTGAATCAAGTCCTGGCTGCATATAAGTCCTAAATCCTTATGTAGCTTTATTAATCTCTCTGGGCCTTATTTGTGAAATGGTGATGATAATACTTATATGACTGTCATAAATCTATCTTCATTTTTTTAAAAAAATTAATGCTTTATTTTTCATATTAGAATTTGTATTTAAATTAACTGGAGCTTATTTTGTGGAAGATATGTGGAAAGCATGTGACTATTTTCCCTATGGCTAGCCAATTTTCTGATATTTGTTAAATATAGAATCCTTTCTTTGCTGATTTATGATGCTATTAATGTTTCTGTGATATAAAAGTTCTTATGTTTGAATAAGTACCTTTCTGATTTCTCTGTTCTTATTAATTTTCTTAAAACACAAATTATTGGCAGGCTTTTTCATTGACATTAGTGCCCCTTTATCTACAGGGGACAAATTCTAAGACTCCCAATGGATTCCTTAAGCCATGCAGACGAACTACCAAACCCTATATCTACTATATACACTATGTTTTTTCCTATACATACACACACACATTTATGATAAAGTTCAATTTATAAATTATATACAGTAAGAGATTAATGATAACATAAAATAGAACAATTATAACAAGATACTATAATAAAACTTATGTGAATATGATCTCTGTCTCTCTGTTTCAAAACATCATACTGTACTACACCTACCCTTTGTGATGTAGTATTTGGCTATGATTTACCTTCGGATGACATGTCAGAAGAAGGTTCATCTGCTTCATGTGATCTTGGATCATAGAGCCTTGAAACTGTGGATGGTTGGGTGTCAGGAACAGACAATGTTTATGACTAACAGGCAGGTAACATACAACATAGCACTACTGGTGAAAGGACTTATTCATGCCCCCAGATCGGACAGAGTGGGACAATGTCAGATGTCATCATGCTACTCAGAATGACTTGTAATTTAAAATGTATGAATGTTTGTTTTTGGAATTTCCATTTAATATTTTTAGACCATGGTTGACCATGGGTAACTGAAACCATAGAAAGTGAACCTAGAGACAAGGAGAGACTACTATACTTTAGCTTTATAACTAGGTTTAATATTTGGTAAGGGGAGTAACTTTTTACTTTTTTTTAATCCTTTTTTTTGGTTATTTTTCCCATCATGGATCCATATACATATAAATATAAGCTTATTATGTTGCACATCACCTCCCACACCCTTTTGTGATTACAATTGAAATTCATTGTATTTGTAGATTAATTTGAGGAGAACTGAGGTCTTTTTTTCTGAAAAAAAGAAAAAAGAAAGAAAGAAAAAGAAATGAAGTAGAGGAAGAAAGAGGAAGAGGAAGAGAGAGAGAGAACGGGAGTGTTGCTTTATTGCCCAGGCTAGAATGGAGTCTAAAAATGGGTATTGAAAACCTCTTTTATGCCAATAATTGTGCTTAATAATGGCCAACCAATATTTCACTTAAACCTATGAGTAGGTATGATGTGGTACTGATAGGAGTGTATATTTTGTGTATTGAAAGTGGAGAGTTCTATAAATGTTTATTAAGTTTACTTGTTCCGGATCTGAGTTCAAGTCCTGGATATCTTTGTTAATTTTCTGTCTCATTAATCCATCTAATATTGATGTTGAATATTGTTTGGGAGTCTAAGTCTCTTTATAAGTCTAATGTATATGGGTGTTCCTGCATTGGGTGCACACACATATAGGATCGTTAGCTCTTCCTGTTGCATTGATCCTTTCACCATTATGCAATGACCTTCTTTGCCTCTTTTGATCTTTGTTGCTTCAAAATCTATTCTATCAGAGGCGAGAATTACAACTCCTGCTTTTTATTTATTTATTTATTTATTTATTTATTTATTTATTTATTTTTGCTCTCTATTTGGTTGGTAAATCCCCCACCATCCCTTTGTTTTGAGTCTTTATGTATCCGTGCATGTGAGATGGGTCTGGATGCAGGAAACTGATGGGTTTTGGCTGTTTCTTTTGATTGAGGGATTGAGGTCTTTTATATACAAAATTTCTCCACCAATGGACGTGGTGTAATACTCCAGTTATTTAATACTTTTTTTAAAAAAAACTTTCATTTATTACATTCCTTATAGAGAAATCTCACAGTAAACTTTTTATGCATTTCAAATGTTTTAAAATTATCTTTTTCAAATTGCTTGTTTCTCCTATTTAAGTGCAGTTTATTTTATATGTTAACCTTTAATTCAGAAACCTTGATGAACTTTCTTATTGTTTATAATAGCTTTTCTTTAGATGTCCATTCATTGTTCAGGCATAAAATCACATTGTGTGTAATAAATAGCAATTTAGTTCAGTTCTTTTAATTTTCTATAGTTTTATTTGATCTTCTTGTCCTTCACTGTGTATGTGTGTTTGCTATTAAATGTTGAGACATTTTTAACAGCATACACAGAGATTTTCTTCCTTTTATAAGTCTAGGCTGAAATCATATCTTTTAAAGGGTAAGATTTATTTATTCACATTTTTACTTGTATATTTGGAGTAATTTCAACCACTATACTTTGTAGTTGCTATTTCGCTATCCCTTATAATTTCTTTTGACTTTTATTTCTCTCTACTGGTATGAAAGTTAAGCATTTGTATCGGAATTAGTATGTATAAACATTACTCTTTTTATTCTTCTCTGGGACAATAAAAGAATTCAAGAATTCCTTAATTTTTATTTCTTCTATCTTCTTTTCCTATTTGTGTTAAGTATATTAGTTACCTTTTATATTTAAATCATCCAAATTAGTTACTATTATTTTTTATCATTATTAGCAAATACTTATTTACTGTTGCTGATGATTTTATAATATCTTTGTTCACCATTGCATAGTACTCCTTTCTTCTGGGTTTAATTCTATTCTTACACATTTTTCTGTTGGGAAATACCATGATGTGAAGTAAAATTTACAGTAAAATATACAATTATGTTAACAGTATTTTAGAAATATATAGACTTAATATAAAAGGGATTTTAATGAAAATCAGTAGAAAAAAGAGCAGCTACATAAGAATAATTAAAATACTATAAATTCGGACTTCATACTAATGCTTGACTTCTTAAAATTTTTGGTTTTCTGTCTTTTGTCTTTCTTTGTTTTTTTATTATTCTTCTCTAGACCAGAGTCAAAGACTGT